TAACACGCTAAATCAGTAACAAAAATAATTATTTTTCTTTAACAGTCTACTTTCTAAAGGCAGAACAAATAAATGAGGTCTGAGACTTTGAATTGTGGAAAAAGGTATTACATTGGTCCTAATATTCACTGACACTTTGGCTACCTCAGTGCAATTGCTTTTCAAAGAAGGTAGCATACCTTGGCATGAAGAGAAAGGGTACTGAATTTGTGTTTTGACCTCAGGCTTTTCTCAATCCTGTGTATGCTCTCTAAAATGATTTGTTTGAGGGCTGCTTCTCTGGAGTTGCTTTGTTTTTCTGCACTAACCCCAATGCCCGACTTGTTCCTTTTTTCTTTTTTTTTTTTTTGTTTCCATTGTATTATACATTCTGTCATAAAAGATGTGGACCAGTGAATGTTTATGTTCAATAGGGAGAAAATGTAGACATCTATCCTTCTAATCTGGGCACATTGTAATTTATTTTTAGTTGCATACTTAGCTCAAGAAATGAGAAAGCTGAGAGTCAGGCCTCTTGCCTAGGTCTAATGGTTAAGCTAAACTGAACTTAAGTTGGTGGACTGAAAAATACTGCTGTTCAGTGGAAGAGAGCTTATGTAGCATGAAGAATTTTTAGAAAGTGATCTTTGTAAAAAGAATATTTTGCTACTCCAGATCAGTATAAATTCACATCCATTATAATGAACTTTAAACTTGTTCACCATCAGCAAAAGTAGTTGCTCTACAGTACCCCAGTCTTCACAGCATTGGTCTCAAGAACTTAATATTGTTACGCCTCTTGAAATCCTGAACTTTGCACATCCAAGAAATTAAGCAAAAAACCCCATAGCTCTTGGTGTATGCTTGATTAACCTTTGGAAAGCCGCAGCACCCCCGAGGGCAATCGCTACAGAAAGCATTTGCAGAACATCGAGGTAAACCTGCTAGATGTGGTGCAGTTGTTTTCTAGCCTTACCCTTGTCTCTCTGTTTAGTCTTTTCCCATCTCCTTGTGCAATATGAGTGTTGCCTGCTGCTGGGGTTCTCAACTTCCTCGGTTCTTGTACCAGTAGTCATAGATCATCTGTGTCTCACCTAATGCTTTTCCTGTTTTATTGCAGCAAGAAAACAAAGCACTACTGCCTGTGTTCAGTCAAAAACCTTTCTGGAGGGAGAGCATGGGCACAGCATTGTAGTTTGATTTGGGATTTTCTAGTCCCAAACTTAATCTTCTTCTAGGTTGTACCGTATTGAAAAATGTAGTGCTAAGTCAGCCTTGTGAAGTTACATGCCCCTTTTAAAATGCATTATTCTTTTCAACTACACAAATAAAATAGGATTCTTATCTTACTGTAACTTTTAATAGTTGCTGAAACACATGCTAGGTTTCTCTTTGTGGTGGGATTTTTTGGTAGCAGGGGAGGGGGCTACAGCAGTGGCTCCCTGTGAGAAGCTTCTCAGAGCTCCCCCATCTCCTAGTTGGGTCTGCCTCTGGCTGTGGCTGAAACAATTAGCGACTGTGCCTCCGTGATAACATATTTAAGAGGAGGAATCTGAGAGGAGGAGTTGGAGTTGGGAGGAAGACCTATGCAAACCTATGCAAACAGCGAGGTGGGTGGAAGAAATGAGGAGGGGGGTAGATGTGCTGGAGCAGAGACCTCTCTGCAGCCCATGATGAGAGTAGGGCCACCCACCTGCTCCCCACGGAGATCACTGGTGCAGCAGATGCCCACCTGCATCCTGTGGAGGACCCACACCAGAGGAGGTGACTGCATGAAGAGGACCAGGACTCTGTGGGGAGAAGCCCCAGCTGTTGGAGTTGGTGCTGGGAGGATTGCAGCATGCAGGAGGGACCTGGACTGGAGCAGCTCAGGAAACACTGCAGCCCATGGGAAGGACTCACGCTGGAGAAAATTCCTGGAATACTGTCTCCTGTGAGAGGGGCACCACGCTGGAACAGGGGAAGAGTGTGAGGAGCCCTCTCCCTGAGGAGGAAGGGAAGTGGCAGGACTGACTGTCATCCCCCCCATTCCCTGCCCACTGCACTGCCGGTGGGGAGGAGGTAGAGAAATTGGGGGGCAAAGCAGAGCCTGGGAAGAAGGGAGGGGTGGGAGGAGAAGGTGTTTTTAAGAGTGGTGATACTTCTCACTGCCCAACTGTCCAGTGTTGCTGCTGTTAGTGTCTGAATTAAATTGATGTTCTTTTTCTTCTTTTGCCCCTGACTGTAATGGGTGAATCATCCCCCCATGTCCTTACCTCGATTTATTTCTCCTTCCCATTCCTGAGAGGGAAGGAGTGACTGAGCAGCTGCATGGTGCTCAGTTGCCCTCAGCAAACCATGACAACATGTAATATCTGGAGCTGATCCACTTTCGAAGAATTTTATTTCCTGTTTTGTTGGAGCTCGTTGCCCAGAATCACTTTGGTAATTGCCGTTAAGCACACATTATTAACAGTAATAGCACCATGGAGTTAACTTCATTATACAGTAGTAAGAATAACAATGGAAGTCTGTAAATACAGGTTTTCTATGTACTGATGTGTTGATGAAACCTGCACTTTATCTTACAGCTATTTCAAGATGATGATGCTGACATTTACTTTTATATTACGTTTACCAAGTAGATGGCATTGGTAAATACTCAAAGTGAGTTCACATACAGCCCTGCTATTACAAAACCTTCATATTCACACTTCTGTTTCCTAGCGTGGAGTTACCTCAGTGTGGTACAGGAATGTATAATTAGGGAATAGCAATGAAATGTGCTGTTGATGGAAAAGTATGTTTGGCATCTCAGATGCTGGCCTTCTCCGACATCATTAGACTTCTGCAGTTGTGATGCAAAGATAGTAAAATGGTTTATCTAGGTTTATTAGGTAGCATTGACATACTCTGTTTTTATACTGTGCTTTTAAAAATGTTTTTGCACAGCGATGGCAGATATCTTCAACTTTCTTACGTGTTTGTGACCACTGTTTGTAGTGTATTTGTCATCATCATTAAAGTTCCCGCAGCAGAAGAAAATAATGCTTGTCCATACTAATTTGGAAGATCAAAGCATGGCATAGAAACAATTTATCAACTAACAAACCAAAGCTACCTCACACACCTATGTTTTGCAGATTTGTTTAAAAAATACATGTTAATAATGTTCTAGTTCCTGGAAAAAATCTAAATTAATGGAAACAAGAAGTAAATATAAACGGGCAGCTTGTTCTCCCAAATGTTAAATCCACATTTTATTTAAATGTCTTCCCTTTCTCTGTGAAGCTTTTCCGTAGTTGGTTTTATTATTATTCTCAATGCCTTGATATGTATGTTTTTCTATTTTTTTTTTTTTTACCTGTAAATACTTAGGATACTATATATAAACAAAATGATTCAGGCGGGACTTTGAAATATAACAAAACCAGACGCTGCTTCTGTCTCAAATATTCCATCTTTCCTTTATATTGCTCACATTTTACAAAGTGTGTATTAACTATTTTCATCTTACATCCTCTCTTCTAAGTCAATAAATAACTTTCCCTGCAGAAATGTAGAATGTTTAATCTACAGCTCACAAAAAAACCCAAAACTTTAAAATATATTTGGCTCTTTCCACCATTTGTAATAAAATTCAGTAGTCCTTTTGGAACACTGTAGGAAGATTGCTGAAGAGCAGTTGGAACAGCAGTTTAGACAAATGCTTATTGATGTTCTTCCTTCTCACCTATGTATCTCTGACAAAGCAAATCTATGACATGCTAGCCAGCAGAGGGATAGCTTTCCAAGTAAATATTGTTTTGCAGTATATAATTGTATTGATAGTCTGCATGCAAGTATTTCATGAAGTGTTTAGTGATAACTTTATTATCGTGAGAAATAATTAGTAAAACATTTAATATTTGGTAATTTTTTTTTAATATTGGCCCTATGAATCGTCATTAGGTGTAGCTGTTAGACCTAAGAAAAATCTGTATTTCTGCTCTTAGAGAAGAGCCAGATGTGAAGTGCCTGAGTCTGATCTTGGAGCTGTGGCTTTTATTTGTGGGATATGGGAGAAGAGAGCTTGAAACTTAAACCTGTATAACCATTAACAGTTTCCTTAGCCCTACTTTGTGTTACAGTCACTTGGTATTAGCAAGTTTAGCTTTCTTTGAATAATGAAATCAAATTGAGCCTGGATTCTCTGATCGAGTACTGCACTGTGTTGCCTGATGTGGCTTTTCACCTGACGCTGAATATGCTACAGCCTTCATCTCTTGAGTTTTTCCTGCTGTGGGTATTCTTAAAGGAGGAGGGGTCAGTTTGTCTCTTTAATACTGAATACCTGAATACTTTTTAATACTGAATACTTGACTTGCCCATACTACAGTCCTTTTTCTTTAATATACCTGACTAACTATACAGAATATGTATAGTTCCATTTGGTACTAGCTCTTTACTGTGGTTTTTTTTGTGCCATTAGCACACCCATGCAACAGGACAGTGTTAGTCCCTTTAGAAACAGGTTCATATGAACCACAGTCTTAAAGACAACAGGCAGCAGAGCTCAGTGCTGATAACAGCATATTTTGTTTAATTAGCCTAAAAAGTCAAGATAAGATAGGTTTCCCCCCCCCCCGTTCCTTTTCAATGATATACAGTTGTATGATAGAGCTAAAATCAAGTGTTCCAACCTCTTCACAAAGTTGGTTTTGAATTCTAAGTAAGCCAAGTAATTTAGTTTTAAAATGCTTCCAATTGTGTAGAAGGCAGGAGATTAATTGGTAGAAAAATCTTTGGAGTAGTTCATAGGCATCAGGGAGAAAATGTTTTAATCCATCTTTGTTTAATCTAGCACTGTTACTGTATCACCTTACTAGAGGTGTGAGGATTGTTGTTTGCGATGGTCTCTAGTAAGGTTGATCTTGGCCTCTGGGGAGGAGACTGCTGGTAACATGTATACAATACAGATGTAACAGAGCTTTGAAATAAGACTTGTGATGGTAAACGAAATATCATGAAAGCAGCTGTATCTGACATTTTCTTTCTTACAGGATATCTTGAACAACCTTGATTCATGTGATCTTGAAGATGATGATCTCATGCTTGATGTGGACCTGCCTGAGGACTCACCGCGTGACAAAGGTTGGTAAATCAGCCGATCAGTCTTACTGTGAAACTGCATTATGAGCCTAGGAGATTTTTGAGTTGCTTTGTTCTGACTTTGGCTTTAATAAGCCAATGCATTCCTCAAATTTGTTTTGTCAAGTGACAACTCTCTCTTTTTCCGAAATGCAGGAAATGGGATATTTATGTTTGCCCAAATAAAACCTTTGCGTTTGAAGAATTCTAAAGTTAGAAATTTACTGCCTCCTATAAAAATGCAACCTTGTTGCACGCTATTTCTTGAAATTATTTTAGTAGAATAAATTTCAACCTTTTAAATTAAGTCTTTCAGTCTCATGCTTCAGCTGTATTAGAAAACGTTGGAACAGCATTTTTTTCAGCTTTGGTGAATGGCAGTGTAATTCTTTCTGTGAGGATAGTTTTTCTTCTATAAAATGACAATATCTCCTAATATATTTGACACAATTTGGGGTAACAGAAGCCTTAAGATTTAAGACGTGTTTTTTCAAGAGGTCTTTTATGCACTCTGGTTGTCGGTGAGGATGCTGGCACACCTTTCACAGGGAGGGTAGTGGTACTTAGATGTGACTAAAATACAAATCCAGACTAGAGTGAACTGGCTAAGCAGATTATTGGCATGCTTTCTCACATGCTGGCCTGGAAAAGTTTGAGGCATTGCTTTTGGCCATAAGGATTGTTGCTGTCATTTGAATATGAGTACTAGCTTTACCTCCAGGTTTGGTGGGGGCCAATATGTGAAGTGCAGTACTTAATCTTGTATAAATGTCAGAATAAGCTTTCCACAGTACTTCTGTGAACAGGGTTTATTCACAGTCGTACTAGTATTCACGTTTTCAGTCCAGTTAGGTGTACAATTTTTATTTTTTTCTTTTTCAGAATGGGTAACAATCCAAGCTTAGGGGATGTCCTTTCAATAAGAGTGATTCTAATTCTGGGAAAACCTAAGAAACGTTTTTAAAGGGTAGATCAATTTCTCATAAGCTTCCTTGTTTATAAAACATACACCACATCTGCATCAGTTATTCCATTTCAAATTATTAATTTAAAAACTGTTAAAAATACATTTTAAAGGTGAATGTTTGCCATAAAAAGTTATTGTTTGCCATTCAATCTAGACATGAAATAAAATTTTGAATTCACTACTTTAATTGCATCAGTATAATAAACTTAAATCTACTTCCACTTCTACAGTTAATATCAGTAATGTTTGTGTAGCTGGAATATGTTTTGTGACTATGATAATCTGCTGTGTAAGCTGCTGATTCAGGAGGAGAAACTTACTGTTTTGAGACAAATATTAATTAATTACTATTTATTGTTGGCATTTTGTAGAAGCTGGGTTTCCATACAAAATTAATGTGACATAAACTGGATATCTCTGTTTTATAATCACTTCTTATCTGAAATCACTGAAAGAGGATCTGAAAAGAATTCAAAACCTACTTCCAGACTTTCCCTTAAGTAAACATGAAAAAGCAAAAATCTGTTCCTCAGCCTTCATGTGTCTTCACTCGGTGTCTCAAGTTCATTTTCCAGAGCTGAAAATCATCATGAAATTACTTATAAACTTATTGAGGGCTTATTTTGAATAGACACACTTGAATTTTCACATGTTATGAGCTGTGGAAGGATGCTTCTAAAGAAAAGTTTTCTGTTACTTTAGGTGAACAAGTTTATTTTCTTACCATTTTTTGGGGTAACTGAACTGCAGATCTGAGCGTTTGTTATAGCAATATTTAACAGCACATTTGCCAACACATTTTTTCGTAATTATGTGTGACTCCACCTACGTCAGCCTCTTAAGACTTTTCAGGTCCTCGGAAACTCTCCTTGTTTCACTTTGGAGTCTGGGATGCCGCTCGGACACTATTTATAGAAACAGTTCTTGCTCAACAAGTATGCAGGGAGTGAGGATGGCAGTTTTAAATCACAGGGTAAAACTGGGCTCGCTTCCCAACAAGACGCAGGCTGGGAACTAAGCAGGAAGGAAGGCCTGTTTATGAGAGTCTTATGCGCAACTAAGTCTGAGTAGGCAGCTGAATAAAGCAATGCTCTCTTGTGTAGAGTTATTCTCCTAGCAAAGGACTGAGAATGTGAGGAAAAACTCTTTTGGGTAAGTGAAGGCTAAAGTGTAATGGCAGAAGAGCAGTTTACGACTTTTTTTTTCTGTGTCTGACTGCATGGGTAGCAGTTGTTTTGGCTTTGTTTCTAGTGGTTTACAAGCTGTTGTCAAATGCAGCTTTTGTTCCCTTAAGAAGTTTGTGGAATCTGCTTTGCTTTGCAGAAGTTAGTGTTTTAAAAAGCTTATTTTGTTTGCTTGTTTTAAATCATGCTGTTCTTCCAGGTAAATAAACATTAAACGTGTCTCAAATTGAAAAACAAACAAGATATGACTAGGATGAGATGTATATGTATTTTTAATAATGGAACTGTTCTGTTTTGGAATTAAGTACTGGCCTTTTTCTAAAATGTCATCTTTCTGTGTTTGCGTGTTTGAACTTTTTAAAGGCCTGAGGATACTGTTGGTAAGAAAGGCAGGAAAATGTTACTTTTGGATTATTTTTTGTCCCCTCATAGCTCTACCCCCTTCAAAAGATTTCATACTTAAACCAGAAATACTATTAATGCTGAATCCTGTAGTTTCTGATACAGGTTAGTCTTATTCTTGTAATAAGTTTATATGCTAGTAAAAACATCTAACAGTTCTAAAATGTGTACTTTTTTTGGATCTGTTCAAAAAGAAATAAAACCCCACAGATTTTACACTGCATCTGTTACCAGCACATAGTAAATATTTTATTTACAAGGTCTTGAATGAATTTTATAATTTTTTTTTTTTTGACTTGATGCTCTCTGTAGAGGAATGTGAAAATATGAGCCGCTATGATAGACAAGACAGAAATGCTAGGCAACATCAGGAAGGATTCTGGAAAAGAGCACCACAGCAGCGATGGAATACACAGGATCACTATCATCTTGGCCATACTGATCACTATATCCATGGTAAAAATGATTTGAACAGGTAAAGAACTTGTCTCTTCTTTCCCAAACAATTTTAATAGGGTGATAAGAAATCTATTTTGGCACTAAAGGGTCTCAAGTGATACTGAGTAAGATAACTGAGCAAGACATTTTGAGAATAGTTGTATGTCTGTAGTGTGTATGAGTGGAAGCATCACTAAGATCTGTGACAGTTCGTTTTCAAAACTTTTTTTCTGTCAGGGTCTTTAATCCACGTATTTGTTACATTATAAATGCTTGACTACTGTATGTATTCTGTGGAAAAAACATTACACCGTTGTCTTACTTGCATTTTGTAAGTTTGGACAGCTTTTTCCTTATTTGTTTTCAAATAAAATATAATCCTGTAGTTCTTAAGGGCTAGCCTGAATTAGAGAGTTTATAGAAGTCCTGATGAGCAAACTGGTTTTAGGGTACTGTACTGGTTAGCCTGAGAGATGCAGGTTGGAAGGAAAGCCTAGTGTTTCAGTGAAGTAGCACTGAGGTTTTCTGATTTATTTATTTTCTGCTGTATGCCACAGTGTGTGACTATAGCCCATCTTACATGACACTTTCTTACTAAATGCTCTCTAGCTCTAGTTTGTCATGAATGTGTTTTTCTTAATTTATTTTTTTTTAGGGGATCCAACTACCTAGAATCTCCTATTGGTCACTTTGAAAGCTATGGAGCACCAAATTTTTACCAGGCTCCTAGACAACTGGTGGGCTTACCGGAGAATACTGTGATGCTTGATGAAATGACACTTCGGCACATGGTCCAGGACTGCACGGCTGTAAAAACTCAGTTATTGAAACTGAAGAGATTACTGCACCAGGTGAGCTGTTTAAATGGAACAAGAGCAGTAAAATATCTTGGAGAGTGAGCCTAGATGAGCTAATGTTCTGTTTGGCCTTATTAGACTATTGCCATTTCCTTTATACATTGAATTATGGTGTTCAAGAAACACTTTTTATTGCCATTTAAAATGGTCGCTTTTCTGCTTTTTCAGCACTTCACTGACTGCAAAAAATCCTAAATATTGTTCTGCTTCTCTGAGACAATAATGCTAAATTTAAAAAAAAAAAAAAGACTGGATGTGAAGACAAGTTTTGATTTAATAACATCCTAAAAAGTTGGAGTAAAAAAAAAAAAAATTAAAATCAATGTCATGGATCAAACTTAGATTCAGCAAGTCAATGCTAATAGCTTTTTCTTAAGGCTTTGTTTTCCTCATTCTTCTCTCTTTCGTATTTTGACAAATAGCTTAGTAAATCCTACTGGGTCATCTCTGTTGGAAGTGCTCAAATTTGACCTTTCTAGTGTACGAAATCATTGAATTGTCCTAAGCTTTTAAGGAGTTTTTTCATTTTCACCTCAAAACTTGGTAAATTGTGGAAGTTGGTAAACTGCTGGATGACTCAGCAGAAGTATGGCATTCCAGCTACAAAAACTCCTTTGCTACCTTAAAAAAAAGTCCATGAGACTTTGGAGGCATGTACAAATTGGCATCGAAAAGTACCCATACGATGTTTGTTCTCTTTGTAATACTTGATTTACTGCTTTTCTAATAGATAATGTCATGGAAATAAGTTCGTGCACTAAGACACTAAAAAGCAAGAAAACAAAAAGCAAATCAACCCTGAGGCTAATTCAGGGGTATGACACTGCCTTTTAGAAATGTGAGCATTTGCTTCCTGTGGTAACAGAATACTGAAGATGTTTTTCCGCTGACAGAATTGGAAATACAATTATAACAAAAAGAACATAGTGTCAGAGAGGGAAGGTGTGTTCTGAGAACCTCATGTCTGAGTAGTGGAGTGCATAAACTGCCCCCCAACAGCCTCACGCCTGCATTTAGTACATGAACTGTTTTTTATCTGGAGCTTTTAATCTGTTTAATACAAGGACAAATAAGGAACTAGATAGATGATCTGTGTATGTGTAGTTCCTTGTGTATAAAGCTGTGCATGTTCTAGCCAGAGAGTGTGTGGCCTTGCAGAGTATTATTATATTTTAAATCTGGATCTAGTTTATAGCAGCCAAACTTTCCTCAAGGTTACAGAACACAAACCTTGCCTCAAGTATCGCCTATTAACTTTTTATAAAAGAATTGAACTCACAGAAGAAACACCTCCTCCTAATATATACATTCTTCAAAACGTGCTGCTTCTCTTACCAAAAGCTTGATCTTCTCCCCCTCCCTCCCGGTAATAGTGAGTTTTGTAATAACAAGTGTTACTTTTCCCTTCAAACTTTGTCCGGTATGCTTCTCCATATTTCCCCGACTTAATCATCTTCTGCTTTGACTTGCTGCTTCCAAAACTCACTGGACTTCGAAATGTTTATTCTATTCTTGTGTGTATTATCCAGCCTTTTAATCAAACTTGCTTACAGAGGGGGAAACTTTAGACCTTTAATACCTTTATTTACTACATGATTAGGATAAAATCTGTATGAAATATTTTGTTGTTATTTTTAGCTGTTAAACCTTCCCTTAATATATTGAGCTTTATACTTGTGGTTTAAACCTGGCTGGCTGGCTGCTCACTCACCCTCCCTCACCTTGGGGAGTGAGGGATAGAATTGGAGGGGTAAAGGTAAGGAGACTTGTGGAGATAAAAAGAATTTAATTGAAATAAAATAATGTAATAAAGATAATAATAGAAAATACAACTGACTAATGCACAGTGCAGTTGTTCACCACCTGCTGATTGATGTCCAGCCTGTTCCCAACTAGTGATCCCAGAGCAGTGAGAATCCTGAAACCACAATCCTGGAAGTGAGAGCGAGCTTCCCAATCAACCCTCCTCCATATACTGAGCATGGCATTGCATGGTTTGGAATATTCCATCGGCCAGTCTGAGTCCCAGGCTCTCTCCCAGCTTCTTGTGTACCTGGGCAGTAGCAGGACGTGGGAAATTGAAACGTCCTTGATTTCTTAGCAACAGCTGAAAAGACCAGTGCATTATCAGCATTCTTCTCATACCACATCCCACACTGAATCCAAAACACAGCATTATTCTAGCTACTAAGAACAGAAAAAAAAATTTAGCTCTATCTCTGCCAAAAACCAGGACAATACTAGCAGAAATGAGTAAAAACATTGCTGTTCTTTTTACTTACTGTAAAGAACAGAAATATAATTTTGAAAACAAGTACATGAACTTCAGCAGTCTGAACACTGAGTTAGAACTTGATCTCAGTCTGGGTCATACGAGAAGAAGCCTCTAATTGCAAAACATGAAAAAGTGAGTTAAAAACAGTTTTTAACAGATTTTTGTGCACTTTGACATAGCTGCAGCTGTTCTTACAGCTTTGAAGAGAGGGAGGCTGTTCATGGCCCTTATTTGGGTGCTGTACACATGCTGCAGCAAGGGAGGCTTTCCCATCAGGGAAAAAGGGAAGAATCACACTGAGACTGTAAGAGGTTCCGCAGAGGGGTGATGTGTCTCCATCCTTGAAAGCAAGTTTGCAAGGGAGATGTTTCAGCAAATAATCTGAGCTTTTGTTCTTGCTCTCTGATAGAATGATGAAAATGTGTCACTCCAGGACATCCCACTCTCGGTTCCATCAAGTCCAGAACCACAAGAACCTGAGTCAACTTTTAAGGTAAATGACACGGATTTACTCTACCAGTTGTTAAACTTGTTTGTGTTTTTTGAACACAAATCAAAAGCTTCTGTGTTGGTATGAAGTAGGTCTGCTTGCTGCTTCTATTTAAATGCAAACCTAGCAAATGTTTATATACTTTATTGTTTCAGTTTTGTTAAACTAGAAAGGTTTATTTGACTTTTTAAAATACATACTTACAACTGCTACCACAGTTTAAATAATTAAAATAACTTTGCCTTTTGGTACTCGTAGCAGTCGTATGGGAATTAACAGCTGTAGAGTAACTTCTTCCAAGAATTTTCTGCCTGCTTGATAAGTGTTAGAATTTGAAAAGACAATTTTTGCTTCGAAATGTAATCGTACCATGCTTATTCAATGACTTGCTCTGTTTCATTACATTTAGTGTTGACTTTCAGTTTAAAATATCTTTCACCTAAAGTAAGTTTTCCCTGAGATAATGCAGGTATTGCAGATGTAACTTAAAAAACAACGTGAACTCCACAAAGTCAGAGATGAGTTTGGTTTAGAATGGGTGTTAAAGGAAGAAGCTATCACAATGGATCTTCCAAAAAGGATCATCTTTATGGTTTCAGACTTCTAACGTTGTACTTTCTACAGGGGTAAGGTTTTATAGCATTGCGTGAGGCTCTTACTGTAAAACCAGTATAGAAAGATCACTAATTCTGCACTTACAGGAGGGGAAGAATACTTGCTGTTGATATATTGAAATTAGAAATACCTTGAAAGGGAAGAACACTTACAGTCTTATTTCTGTTGGAAGGTCATCTCTCCAAATCCTCGTTTAAGAGGTTTGCCAAAGCTATACATCATCCTTTAGCAACCCTGTTTTCTACACTGTTAACTTCTAGCCTTTTTCTCTTTAATTGTTGTCTGATGTATTTGTTGTGCTTGTCCTTCTACGCTCTTCTCCCTCAAAATCTTAGAATCTTAGTCTTAATTCCTAGAGGAAAAATTACTGCTTTTTCACTTAAACTGCTAGGTTTAACTAACGCTATGCATTGCCAATTCTTTAATTGATACTTTTGTATGGTTTGAAAAATTTCACAACAGATGTGTCTGGGTGTTGTCCTGAAGCAATAACTAAGAAAATCTTCAGTGAAACTGAAATAGTAGATGTCTGCTACTAAATGGAATTACGCCCCCTAATTTATGGTCTAGCTATAATGACACATTTATAAAACACATTAAAATAACTTAGTGATGAAAAAGTATTTTAGAAAAAATTCACTCTTGCCCGCTTACCATTATTTTTTTAGTCTGTGAACTTTGCATAATTATTTTGTCTTCAGTTTTGAAGAGGATGTATTCAAATTGGTCATGCTGTTTGCATTCAGTATATGTAGTTATGTTTGTTTCTAAATTATTTTTGTTTCTATCACTTTGTTAATGATTTTTAAATAGCAGTTTGCTTAACCTCGAGGCTTCAGTATTTTCTGATGTTGGTAAGGAGAAGTATAGGTAGTGTTTGACTAAGGATGTTCATCTACATGATGTCAGTTGTTTATATCACAGGTTAATTGCTGCATCAAAAATACAGCTGATTTACTTAATTATTCTGAAAACTTAGTGAGTCACCTCAACTCAGCCTCTTAAAGAGACTTCTAGTCAAGTTTCTTCACTCTACGGGTTGTATGCCTACAGCCCCTCTCACCATGTGAATAAGAGGAGGAAAGCATGTTGCAATGTTACTGCTAGCCCTCCATGACCATCTGATGTCATACATCCCATAGATGCACCGATTTAGATCGTGTAACCCTTACAGAAACCCTTGTATTGCTCACTGTTCTATTGCAGATGGACGATCTCCTGAATGAGATCCGGCAGCTTAAAGATGAACTGAAGAAAAAGGATGAAACAATCAACCAGTTAGAGCATCAACTTGTAAGTATAATGCTGAACGTTTAACAAAATCCAAAGTGTGTACTGCAGAGTGTAACTTCAATAGGTAGTTCTTAGGAAGGCTTTAAGAGGGTTAGACATCTGATTTTTCCCTAGACTTTCTTTATAACAAGGGTAGATTTGGGTTCTGGTTTAGGCCTATTGGACTCATGGGGCTGTAAAGATTCCATTAGCAGACTGATTCTACATGTTCCAGTGGGTTTGTAGCTGTACACCTGGGATCTTTTAATTCTGTAGGACAGTCATGGTTTGCATGTGACACACTAAGGAAGGATGTTTATATGACTGGTAAATATATTTCATTTCCAAAACAAATGTAAAATTCTAAACGCTGTTCAGAAATAACACTGAGCAAAGACAAGGCAGTTAAAGCCTAAAGTATTTTAAAAATTCTATCGTTCTGCTTGAAGTTTGTTGGTTTTTTCCTCCTTTTCCTTTCCCCTACTGTCTTTGATAAAGAATTCCACCACAGAATTTAAAGATGAGCAAGGTAATATTCAAAGTTGATTCTTTTTTAAGAAAACAAAACAAAGCATGCTGAATAGTAAGATTAGATTAAATAAAAGTTATGGGAGCACTTCCACCATAAGTCAGGTTCAGGCAGACAAGAGTCCTTAAGCAAAAGTAACGTGTAACTTTTTGTTTTTTCCTCTTGTTCTAACTTAACTTTGGATTTTGCCGTGCATAGCTCTGCATTTTGTTCTGGGGAACTTGCCTGCTGTGGTCAGTTCTTGTAAAATAGTGCCATGTTTTCAAGCCATGGCCAGATCTTAAAGGTGGGGGAGATGAGATGCCAAGAGGTGCACACCGTATGTATTTATTATGGCTGGAGACAGTCTTGTGTGACTAATCCCCAATTAAATGTTTAACGTGTGCTTTTGTACATACATGCACTGAAAACAGATCTGTGGTCTTCAGTCTCTCCCTGTCTAGCATGTGATCGTTCCCTCTAAAACAAAAATGAAAGGTTAAGATTTGACTTTCTGTTCTGCTGCTTGAACAGAATTACGGATCACAGTATGTCTTGTCTGTCAGAACTCTGCAATACGTGTTGGTTATTTCAGTATGCTTAGTCTCACTCTTACCATCAGCCTTCAAAGATTTCATCAAGAAAATCTCCTTTCCTGCTAGTTTTGTATACCTAATTACTACAGTAACTGCAAACTTGGGTGCAGCTAAGGAACTCTGCCATAAAGATGAGTAAAACTTAGATCTGTAATTACTGAAAGGTGACTTAAATAATGTGGTGCTTCAGAAATGTAAGTGAATCAAAAATCCTTTCCAGAAGTCAACGTTTATTCTAGATTTATAAATACACATTGGGAAAAACACCACTGTATACACTGGTTTCTACAGTTGATTCATATTGTGCTTGTGCTGTGAAGTAATGGATAATATTTGAACACTGGACCTTGACTGTGCTTTTCAAGAGGCTTAGTTAGTTCTTTTCTAACAAATTCTCCTTTCTTTCTCTCTTTTTGGTGGTGATCAAGGCCACTAGATGTAACTGCCAGAAAGACAGTCAAAAACCTACAGGGGCAACGTGCGCATATGCTGATAAATTTACACAAACCTCCTGGAGGAGGAGTTCTGTGAGTAAAATGTGCCATGCCTTCTCAGTTAATGGCTTCCTGCATTTCATTTCCCAGTTCTCTTCCTTTTGCTGTCACACAAGTTAGCCTTGTTTAAGAGATTCTGTGCTGTGAGTGGTATGCTTCCTGCTGTGCATCATGGCATTCTTTTGGAACCCTTTTATTTAAACGTTTATGACAAACATTTCTTTTAAAATAAGTAATTAAACTTTATAAGTCTCCTCTTAAAATAATCACCCTTTGCACTATTTAAGTTACAGTCAGTCCAAGCTGTATATCTAACACGAGATATCTTCTTATATCCTGACTTTAAAGACATAGGTATCTGGACTTGGTTATTTTCCTGTTCTCATATTTGTTGAGGAAAATCAACAATGTATTTTAAGTTTCAGTCCATAAATGTAAAACAGAAGTTAGTATTTATTTATTTTTAAAAAATTAATTTTATCCTTGATTTGAATAACTTTGTCATTCAAACACTTACTGAGTGAAAATCACTTTGACAAAGGACGTCTTCATTCACATATTGCATGGATCACATTGGCTTCCATTATATGAACTTACATTCTTCATGGAACACTAATACAATACTTAAGATGGAGGGAGAAGAACCTATTTGATGTTATATAATAATAAGGAATTACATTTGAATGATAAACAAGATTTTTGTTAGTCACCAGCAAATAGTCTTTTGATCCTGAAGCTACTGCTTTAGCTAGAGAATAAAAGATTTCTTTGAAAAGTTAAAAATGGGTTAGATTTTTTTGTTTCTATTTTTAATCTGCCTTGAGTTATTTTGATGTAAGATTGTAGTAAAGATAAATCAACTGTCCTTCTCAAGGATAAATCCTGCTATCCTTCTCAAATTCCTGTTTTCATTCAAATTCCTCTTTTCATAGAATTATAGAATGTTTTGGGTTGGAAGGGACCTTAAAGATCATCTGTTTCCAACCCCCTGCCACGGGCAGGGCCACCTTCCACTAGCCCAGGTTGCTCAAAGCCCCGTCCAACCTGGTCTTATCTTCTAAATAAATAGTGCTAGGGTAGTAATCCCACCGTGCTGTATGTTCACCAGCTGCTACCTTCATCCTGTTGAGACCATGCTTTCCAACTGTCTTCTGTCTGGTAAGAACCCAGTGGAAAAAGTTCATAAGTAGCTTTCAGTTTGCTCCAATACCTCTGTTCCAGAATGTACGTGTAATGTCTTTGTTTATCCCATACATTTTTATTTTGCTGTTACTTTGGAGCCTTTGATCTCTTGTATTTTTCCTTTTTCCCATGTTTTAATTTCATACGTGATGTTCATTTGATGTTTTTCTGTGTTGATACTATTACTAGGTTAGTGGCTATTGTTGCTTCCATGTTCCTTTTTTTCCTATCTCATTTTCTACATAAATTCAGAAACAGATTAGTAACTGTTGAAAGTTAGTTGCTAACGACAGAAGCTTTAATTCGAGCAATTGTAGCATTAACTGATAAGGCAAAGGTGTTGGAGAAGATGGGAAATGAGTTGATATCTCCGGTGGACGGAGTCATTTAGCTCAACTGTTTGCATCAGGTCAGTCGGTATATTTCTTTTAAGTTATTCAGTAGTTTTGTTCAAAAAGACACTTTTGTCACAAAGAAGTTCAGGTTAAGGGAGTTTATCTTTTTAAAAACAAAACAACAACAAAGCAAGAAAAAACCGACAGAAAAAAGACCTCTACTGTATTCATGGGTTGGGTGTGTGTATGTGTGTGGATAAATGTATACATACGTGTATGATACACAGGCGTATCATACTTAGATGCACGTTGATAAACATTTCAGTATTTTTATCTACATGTAAAATGTCTTATGAAAGTTGATAAAGAAATTAAGAAAATTCATCAAGTATTGACGAACTTTTGATATACTGCTTTTCAAGGGCTTTTTTTTTTTTGGTAAATGATGGCTGAAAAGTTGAGTGGATTGTGTGGGGTTTGGGTTTTTTTATGTCTTCTCACTTGCATATTTGTAAGCTATAGACTTTCTGTAAGCAAACACAAATTGATAGGAACTCCTTAACATGGCATTTCTTAAAGGAAAATGATAGTCTTGCTGTTGTAGCCAAGTTTCAGTTCTAATGATCAGACCTCAACTTTCTGCTTTAATAGTTCCACTGCTACCATGCATTTGTATGCTTCCTTGCATGGCTTAATAGAAATAAAAATGTAGAAAAACCCTGGCTTGAAATCATTGTTGGATTGGAACCCAATGACACAAAATGTCTCTTCCAATAGAGAGACAATTGACTATTTTCTTGAGGTAGGAATACAATAAATGGAAACGGCAAGAGCAAAATGTATTCTCGCACAAAAAAAAAAAAAAGTCTTAAAGTAATTGTTTTCTTTTATTACCATTGCTGTTTAGTTTAATATAATGGTCTTGAACTAAGTGTGCAGACTGGGAGAAATCAGGTTTATTGGTTCTAAACATGGTGTGAACCGTGAAATGTAGTTAATGTTTATAAAATTATGAAGTTTTTATATAGACTACATTAAAAAAAAATTAAAGTCTTGGCAATGAGAGAAATGTTCCTTTGAGGCATATAAGCTTTTTCTTTAAGCTTGGTAATAGTTATTAAAGTTGATGACTATTTAACTATTTTTTCCTATAAGTGTTGACCTGCCAGTCACATTAAATGATGGTGAATATCAGGAAGTTACTTTAGTTTGGTTACCATAGCTTTCAAGATTATTCTGACAGTTTACAAGTTCTAGCAGAACTGATAATTTCTGTTGATTCCTGGTCTAGGAACACACAGTAATTTACTGTTCATGAAATACTTTAAAAGATCCCAGAAATGTGCTTAACAATCATTGTCCATGTAGCGCTTCATAAAGAATAGGTGTTAGAATAAACTAGAAAACTGTGAAAGTGAAAATCAGCTATTAAAAGATTTCAGTTAGGAATTTAAGACCGTACGAATTGCTGCAATTTTATTGCAGTTCTACTATCTGAAATAGCAAATATTTCTGATCACTTCGTTGTTCTCCCAGTAAACAGGCAGGTGAGTATCACCAAACATAGTCTTTTTAAGAAGGCATATTCTAATCTTTCTTTATTACCAGGTATTTCTAGAAAATGGCCCATACTGATGTGATACGCTTGTCTGAGGTTATTCTCTTTAGGGACTGCAGTTTTTGAAAGTACTTTTAGGGTTTTTCCCTATTTAAAGGTAAATATGTACATAAATGGAAGATATATAACTTCAGATTAATCCTCAGAACTTCATACTCAAGTAATAAAACATAGTGGCTGAAATGTTTTGAAAATCGGACCTATTAAGAATGAATAGGTAGCTACCTGCTGCCTAGCTACTGTCTGTTACGTGGCATTTCTTGTAAGAAGTGTCCTGACAGTATGCTCAAAATTCTGGTGATTTCTGACTGTTTGTGTAGACAACGGTAACTTAGAAATACACTATTTTTGGTTAGTCATCCTCAGGATAAAAGCTTTTACAAGTACTCACCTACAGGCTAGACCATGGTTTCTCTAGAAGGATTGCTTATAGATCTCTTACACGGAACTTGCTTCCAGTTAATTTATAACTTAACTATCGTGGAAGAAAAAAAACCCTACAAAGCCAAAACCTGGAACATATTGAACATAAACATGGAAGAAATGAATGTTGATGGACAGAATTTACAAAGAAGAAAAAAACATGAGCATCCATTGCCACAGTTGTTCTGCAGGCTTTGCAGCATTGCTTCTGCACTACTACATATTGATGTTATTTTGAAGATTTTGAGGGTAGAGGGGTTAGATGTCAAGTTTATGTTGACAAATCATTTGGCTTCTTGAAGTGGGAAAGGTTCTTTGCAGATGCTGAGAAGTAAAAGACAAACAAGCAAGCCGCAAAGCCCTGAATTTGTTTGAAGCTGTCTGTAAAAGCTTCTGACCCCTGAGGTCTGCTTCCTTAGGATCCCACATCTCCTCTTAGTTCCTATCGGCTCTCCCATGCCATGCAGCAGTAGGCAGTGTACAGTAAAAGCTGATTTTTCTCCTTGGGATGGGAGCAGTACGCAGTGATGATGAGAATAAGCTTTGCTTCCTGAATGTGTATACAAGCTCACTCTTGTCCCTGGTGAAAGGACAACAAAAACCCCCTCAGTTTGCACGGGAGCTTGTATGGTTTTGTTCTTTGCTACATCTCTTCTCTCCTCCTGCGCTGACATATTCTTTGCCTTCCATTTCAGTCTTGTTCCAGTTTGTCATTCCAAAGCCTCTCACCTCAACCGTTTTGATGAACCTTTGTAATACTTAGGCTGTCTCTGTGTACTGCTGTCTGTCTTGGTTTTAGTATCTCCTTCCACCTTAACCTTTGAACTTCCTAGATGCTTTGACTCTGCAACCATGAATTTAAACTTGCAGGTGTTGAAGCCTAGTCACTATACCGGTGTTCGTCTTCACCTTCAGCCTAGGTTTCTGTTGTTGCCCAGTGCTCTGCTGTTGGCTTGCTGATCTGTTACAACGTCCATTCTTGGTGAGACAGAACCATCTGAACTAACTAACTAACTAGTCACGCTGTGCACGTTTCTTGAACTTTTACAGTTCAAGACAGTGTCTAGCATGTAGGCACATACACAGAAGAGAGGTCCTTTAAACTTTTCACACGCAATTTTTGATGGTGTCATGTAAACCAGCACATCAGACTGTTTTGACTTGGGTTGTTTTTTTTTTTTGACAAGAATACTTCCAAAAGGGCTGTTGCATGTCAGAACTGCGCATTCATCATCTCTCAGGGTGCTAGGCCAGCAAGAGGAGATTGCTGCAAAGACCTTTTGATTGCATTGATACCTGAAGTATGTTGTTCTAGGCTTGCTCATGATGTTGAGCTCTGAGTTTGTATGAGACAACTGTCAAATGCTAGGTGAGATGCAGCAGAAATCGTCTTTTCCTGTAAGTGCTCAAAGTCTCCAGCTGTATGGATAAAAGTGGATCTTTCCTCTATTTGTGTTTTTGCAGCAGAAAATAAT